AATGAATATAAAAATTATATCGTTGGATAGAGTTCGACTGTCTGATCGCAACGGTGCAAACGGATTTCAATTCGGAGAAAGTTGGACCGAAAAGTGTACCCCGACTGGACCAAAAATTAGTCCCAATCAGAGAGTAACGTGCTGAGTCTCCTTAAGTCGCACTATCGCCGAAAGAAGAACGTGAAGTTCCTACGCAGCATCTACTCAGACTTTGTTTCCTTCTTCTTCATCTTCCCTATAAAAGGAGAAGCTAACTCCCTCATTCCTTCACCATTCTCCTTCAAATAAACTCGGAGAGAAAGCTGTGAGTGTGGAGAATGAAGTTGTGCTGTCAATTTGGTGTGAAGTCGCCGGAGCAAGCCACAATCTTTGCCGGAAGTTTCGCCGGAAAGTATTCAAAACCTTCATTTACCTTCGAGGTAAGCCCGTAGATATATCTAAAGATTAGAATGTTCATATAGGTTGTTTTTACGTTCATAAACGGTCATTTGGTTGAGTTTTGTGTTTGACTTGTTTGAAGAACCAAGAATCATAAACCTTGAATTTGATGTTAAAAATATGTTTTAATGATTCTAAAATGATCTATGAACCTTGGAGAACATTTCTATATAGTTTAATTGAAGTTTGGTAACTAAAATTGATATGTCCAAAAATGGACCGAAGGTAGAAGACGATGAACAGTGGCCGAAAATCGATTATTTACTTACTAAAAATTGATTAAAATTTTATTCAGATCAGTGGTTCGAAGTCAGTACCATTTAATCGATTATTTAAATTGTAAAAATCGATTATTATGAATTAATTGATTATTTAAATTGTAAAAATCGATTATTATGAATTAATTGATTATTTAAATTGTAAAAATCGATTATTATGAATTCATTGATTATTTAAATTGTAAAAATCGATTATTATGAATTAATGGATTATTTAAATTGTAAAAATCGATTATTATGAAGTAATTGATTATTTAAATTGTAAAAATCGATTATTATGAATTAATTGATTATTTAAATTGTAAAAATCGATTATTATGAATTAATGGATTATTTAAATTGTAAAAATCGATTATTGTGAATTAATGGATTATTTAAATTGTAAAAATCGATTTTTTATTAATTAATCGATTATTTATAGTTGAAAAATCGATTATAATGAATTTATTGATTATTTAAATTGTAAAAATCGATTATAATGAATTAATTGATTATTTAAATTGTAAAAATCAATTATTATGAATTAATGGATTATATAAAATTATATAAATCAATTGTTATAAATTAATTGATTATTTTAAATTATTTTCCTCAATTCGAGATGAAAATGTTCCTGAAAATATGCTCTAAAACCCTATTTTTGATACCAATTAATTATGCACAATATAAATATGATTTTGTACAATAAAAATGATGTTTGTGACATATAAACATTATGTGATACATGACGGTAAGTTCGGGTGTTAACACTCGAGACTAGGCCGCTATTTGTTATTATGCATTATGACGATTGTTTGATTATTGATTATAATGAATTAATGATGATGAACGTTTTGAATGATGATCATGAATTGTTAAAGTGAAAATAATGAATTAATGAGTCGTATTGTTAAGGATATCTAGAACGACTCTAAGATATACCCACTTGTATATTGATGATGATTATTAAGGATATCTAGAAGAACTCTAAGATATACCTACTTGACCAATTCATATTTCGGGTTAAAACGTACGTACGGGATCCAGACCGGATATCACCGACCCGACAAATCATTGTTCGGTTGGTACGTAATCCACATGACTCATAGGTTGGATTATCGATTCTTGTGTTCTGCATTAAACTATTTATAGTTTAAGGGCCTGGTTAGAATTACTGCCTTAGACTAGGAATAGCTAAGAGCTGAATATAAAATGATGTGGCCTTAGATTAAGAATAATTTAAGAGCATTATTTATATATATTGAATATCAAATGACTTGGAATAAAATATTGAAAATATTTTGAATATTTGAACCATGTATTGTGTGCATGATATCAAATGGTTGATTATGAATTGAGATTCAATTTATGTGGATGTTCGACGTTTTAGATATGCTTACTCAGCTTCACCGCTGAGCGTGTAGTGTGTTTTATTTGCTACACGCATGTTTTATTTGTCAGGATGGATGTGTCAAGTTTTGAAATAATTTATGATATGTCAATATTAAATTCGCTTCCGCAATATTGTTAAATACTCCGTACTGTATATGTTATGAAAAATATTATTGGGATTAATAAAGTGTGTTTGAAAAGTTTTAAATTTTACGATTACCAAGTTAAATACTTTAGTCCGAATGGGGTTGCAGACCTGGACGGATTAGGGTGTTACATAACCAAACGTGATACCGTATGGTGTATTGAGGAGAATTTTATTATATTAACATATAAAATTCATTTTATTTAATTATTGTACATAACTTTTCGCATACTAGTTCATTCTTCACAAATCAAATGTCGTTAGAAATCTATCGTCGAGATCTACCAAATGACACCAATGTTGAATATAAAATTTTTAATTTTTTTTATTCTCATATTTCAAAGCTAAGTAAGAAAAGTACATTTATACATACTTTTTTCTTATATAATTTTTAGACTATATTTTGGGATCTTACACACTCTCTCAATGCTACTCCTTTCGTCTCAAATGCATCTAATTTAGGAAATGATTTTAAATATCCTTTTTTCCAGATTTATCTCGACAAAATGCACTCTGATGTGATGTGCATGCACTGTGATGACCAATATATGCATTGTGATTTGTTCTCCATATTTAATTCAAATTTCATTTTATTAATTTATGGATTAGCCAAGAATGACTCTTGCATGACTTTGTATTCGATGAGAAAGTCAGAGAATGCATTATATTCCAAACAGTTATAATATAGGTTTTGAGGAAATAGTTTGCCTATGCAGGATTCGAACCCACATATGTAGTACATACTGCTCTACCATCTATACATTATTTAAAAAGACGTGATTTTTTTCCCGCCCATGCATGACACTCATATATGGAAAGTGTTGACAACATAAATGGTAGCTTAATTATTTTACCTTAATGTTTTCCTTCCATTTTAAGTATGTTTTTATTTTTATTTTTATTTAAATGTTACACCATTTAAGCATTTAAATTAAATTAAATAGTAGTGAACCATTGGGGGCTTTAGATTGAGCTTACTTTGGGCTTTCTATAGTGGGCTATCTACCTCGAATGTTAACGGGCCCCGCGGTAGTCACGAGGTTAACGGGCCTCGGCCCCCCTGCTTGTAACCGACCGTTCATTATATAAAAAAAACAAAAACAAAAACTATATATATATATATATATATATATATATATATATATATATATATATATATATAAATTAAAATATTTTTATTAAAGAAAGAAGAAATACAGAGGGGTGGCCAGTAGCCCCAACAATATGGCCAAGCGAGAACAAGCCAATTGAAACAACAAGATAGAAAACTCCAAACATAATAACTCCAAGGATGAAAATTCCAAAAGCTGGTACAAAAAAAAAAAAATCTCCCAAACCAAACCATTATCTTGGTCATATTGGAAAATCCAAGGGAGAAGCATTGTATCGGTCGTTGAAGCATCTCAATCCCTTTCCCCTTATGTTGGTCATTCCAGACTATCCCATAGTTTGCAGAATCCATCCCATAATTTGCAGAAATCTCTTAACAATCTGAGGTAAAATGACTCCGTCTCTAATCCTGAACCCCATAAATGTTCCATCTTATTGTCTGAAATAACAGTAAGTAGTCATCAACAGTATCATACATAGCAAAACCCAGTATACCTGCTCGAAGAAAGATTAAACCAAGAACTACCACCAAAGAGGATGAGAACAAAGATATAAAAACAAGACAGTTCCACTTATCCCAATAATCAAAAGCTCAAAACCTCCATTTTTCTTCTGATTCCAAAGAAAATTCTGATCGACTTGGAGAAGGAAGACGACGTCGCCTTGCAAGCCTAAGACTCCTTCTAGGAGCTGGGGGGCTAGAGCCTCTAGCACATCCTCTCTCGAAAATGATCCGGCCCTGATCATTATTACGAATAAGAGCAGCAGTACGTCCCTTTGGACCTCCCCACCGTTGTAGGTGGTCATCAGGCTCAATACCGTCATCCGGGTACCATTCTCTCCATGGTTCTGGGTCAGGGTCGAACTCAGCACTGTCTCTAAAAAGCTCTGAATCTGATAGGCATGCTCTTAAGACTTTTTTACTCTGATCCTCCTCTTCTGGGAAAACAATCTGTAAAGGTTCTAAACAGTGTACAACAGCTAGAGTGTTTGAGGATCTTGATTCCAAAGAAGGTTGCAGCTGAGAACAAGAGCTAGGTGATTTATCCAAAGGAATAGAATCCGAAGGGTCCTCTCTTGCAATAGGAGATAAACCCAAGGCATTATTCTCAACACAAAAACTGGTCTTAGGTTTCAAGGAATTAAGGGAACATAAATGTAGAAATAATTGAAACCAAATAAGTGTACTAGAACCACCAGGAAAAGAAAACAAAGTCACTGGGGTGATATTAGAGCAGTTTGTTGGTTGTGAAATCGAAGACACACAAGGTCTGGGAGAAAGAACCATAGCATTTACATCGTGTTCGAAATGTATGGAGGAATCTGCTACTGCCTTAGAGGACCCTAAAACCCCATCTGTAAACGGGGAATTAGTACTTTTCCCATTTTTTGCTACCATGATGGGTTCATCCACCTTATTCTTACCCTTAATCTTAGACAAGAAAGAGGATAGGCACTTGAACAAGTGAGAAAAGCCATCCCTCCTATCAATAGGGAAGAAAATAGAGCAGATACCTTCGAATCTGTGCTCAATAAACCTGATATAATCCCCCCATTTGTTGGAGCCAAAAGAAAGTGTAAGCTTACGATTTGTCTCAAACCGTGAAAGAACCCAACTATTATTTCTTGAGAGCCTATGGAGGGAGTCCAAAATCCAGTTAAATGCCTCAAAATTCAACCAAATCTGAAAGGTTCTTCTTCCTGTCTCAGTTATGCAGAAGTACAGATTGTAAGCAGAGTGGAAGAGATCAAATACCTTGGCTTGGAGTCTAAAGCTGGAGCTGGTGTTACGACTTTCAACTGGCATTAAAGACGGGCAAAAAGAATTGTGAACACCCTCTCGATCTGACTCCCAATTAGTACCATTATTACCAGCTCCACAATTTGACCATCCCCGATTATATTTCGAATGTGTCAACCCCCTCCGTGGCTGGGGTGGGGGGCAAGGTGTGGCTCGGGTGGGGGGTTTAGGGGGGGTTAGGGGGGTACGAACCGTCGTTTTGACAAACGGAGCACCGTAGGTACCCCAAACGAACTAGTGTAAGCAAATGACACCAGTAGCACTGATGTCATTTTAGACTTACATACACACACACACACACACACACTGTATATATACAGAGTGTGTGTGTTTGTGTGTGTCTATATATATATATATATATATATATATATATATATATATATATATATATATATATATATATATATATATATATATATATATATATATATATATATATATATATATATATATATATATATATATATATATATATATATATATATATATATATATATATATATATAGANCCTTGTGGAGAGAAATGAGAATAGAATCTAGCCGTTGGATCTGATAAATCGTGCAGTTCAGCTTTCATCTTGCGCTCAGATTTTAAGATAGTGCATTTTCAAAGGACTTTAGTGCATTTCAACGTGATGCATTTCCAAACCATTTTGGTGCACCTAATTTTGATGCAATCCAGACCCTTAGATCTCACAATCTAAAGCACCATATTCATTCTCATTTCTCTCCTAAGATCGCATTCTCACCAGAACCAACATCTATATATATATATATATATATATATATATAGACACACACACACACACATATATATACGTATATATATATACACACACATACATATACATATATACACACACACACACTCCGTATATATTTATAACGCCTATTTCGGTTTACGATGTTTGACTGAAATTATTTTCAAATCATTTTATATGACAAATGGTATAGAGTTAAAAAATGAAAATTACATATCAAAATAGTACATCAAAAAATTTACAAAACTAGTAGTGACAATAGTATTTTATTTTATCAAATTGCTAACGAAAATATAGAAAGAAAGTGAATAAAGTTTGATCATGTGAATAGTAAACATGCATTATAAATTGGGAGAGAGGAAGTAGTATTTATTAGACACTTCACATCACAATACCAACGTAACAATTCAAACAAGCATCCAAAATCTAAAATTCTTCAACAATTGCTCTGACGTGAACAACCACAAACCGCACAAAGAACGGGCACATTGGTCATCATAAAATAAAGTACATGATGACCCAACGCATGGTGGCATCACAAACCAAAATACTGGGAAATATAGGGCTACTGGTTCTTGATTTTCCTTTCCGCATCCTCCAAGCTCTGGATGTCCTTGTTGTACTTGCACACACGGTAGATGCACCTAATAAATAGATCATCAACCACATAGAAGCCAACCAATGTAACCCTAATCATCAAAGAGAATGCACGAGGTAGCCTTTCCAAATTACAGAACATTTAATTCATAATCAAAAGGTGAGACAGCAGTTTACCAGTAGAGGAGGCATCCTGCCACACAAAGGATGCCATTCCTTTGAGCCTTGTATATCTGGATTAAGCAAATGGAAACAAAATAAGAGAGACCTCAGAGATTTGTGTGAAAAATGGGTCTTGTTTGTTATGTTATGGTTGTTATCACACTATTAATCCGTATAATTATTAGCCTTGATGCTATTGAGGAAATCTGATTTTCAGACCCCAAATTTACTCCAATATTTTATTTCGCAACTGTACTTTATTTTCTTTTACTAGTGTTATCTCAAACATCAGGGGTAAAACCGCAAAATAGGGTGCACATAACAAACCATTCGTTAGAGTTTGCACTCCCTATCTCTTTGCAAGGTACAAGGGAAATAAAACATGGGGTGCAAAGTCAAATATATAGGACAACTATTCAAGATCATAAATTATAGCTATGGTTTTAAATTTATTGGTAGGTTTGACTACATTTTGAATAAAATTTTGACATTAATGAGCGCCAACTCATTAATGTCCTGTTTGAGATGCTTTTATTAATTTTTAAAAAAAAATTTGTGATATATTATCCTTAGAAATGCTGTATGAGCATTGTTGACATTAAGGAGCGCCAACTCATTTGAAGGGCTTATTTGACACATTTCTTAAAAATGAGGGGTTTTAGAAAGTTCGCAACTAATTCCAGATGAAAATGTAGATTATTTTATTCAAATAGGACTCTTTCAAAGTCTAGTTGATTAAGTCATATTATATTATTTAATTAATTTCACTATTTAATTATTTGTTGAGTCTTTCTATTAGACTACCACAGCATCAACACAAATCTCAACATGTCTAGCAAGCAAATGAGCCAAAACATTCTCACATCTACGAACAAAACGAAATTCAATGTGCCTAAAGGAGGATATAAGAGCAAAGCAAGCCCACGTAAGACAAAAAAAAAGAGGCATTCTGCTGCCTTGAAAATGCCATCGGTTGTAAGAGAGAATACACCCAAAACCTGTAAACTTCGTACATGGAAAGAGAGAAACATCCACCGAGCCCCTCCAGAAGTTAAAAGGCCCCTCCACCGTTTGTAACCTCCCACAGACTGAACTAAGACCTGTGCCGTTGGAGCCACAAGTATTTTGCAAGTGAATGATCTGTTGCTTCAAGGATATAATGAAACGGCGACGACACGACTACACAGGGCATCATTCCGGTCCCTCCACAAACACCATATTGCCCAATGCAATCCGCTGAAGATCAGTTGTTGAAGCTGTAACCATAACCTGCTGGAGCCAAGAAAGGGAAAACAAGAGGCGGACAGCCGATTCCCCGCCCAACGCCAGAAGATCCCAAATAGAATTAGCAAACGGGCAAGAGCACACCGCTCTAAAGTATCTCTGAACCCTTGAATTAAGGTTGGGGGGGGGGGTACCGGTTGCCCCCCTTTCTTCCAAAGTTGCTCCCAAACCATTGAAATCACCGATTACAAGCTATGGTAAAGAGGGCTGATCCTTGAGAGAACGAAGAAGGGCCCAAGAATAATGTCTTCCGATCCCGCAGCAGATCACAGAAAAAATTGTAAACCACCAAGTAGGTGAGTTATTCAAAGTAACTGCCACGATCCACGTGAGAGTTAGAGTAGTTAATATTGGACCACCAAAGTAGAGCTAAACCTTCACTTCGTTCGACGCTATCAACTGCAAAACACCCATCAAAACTAATCTTCAACCTCAACTTCTCAACACAAGCACGATTACCTTTAGTTTCCATCAAGAATACAAAGTCGGGCTTTTGGTGAACACAAGGTCCACCACTTCTTGAACTGTCCGCCAGTTGCCCAACCCGTGGCAGTTCCAACTGATGAATCTCATTGGTCTCGGCGAGTCTGGAAACCAAGCCACGCGGCTTGCAAGTTTTTTGAAAAATCTATCATAGTCACATCATTCTCCACTGGTAGTACAGAACCACCCTCCGTGCCTCATTTTTTGCTTAGTGACCAGTTCCAAACCTGTGATCTGCATATTGTCAGCATCCACATGCTTAGAAGACTCGCCCTTCTTAAATGCATCTTCCACCCATGGGTCCTGGAAGCGAAGCCAAGGGAGTCCCAACCCAGAACCATTCCTCTTGTAAGTTAACCCGCACTAAGAGACACATCATAAGGATAACTAATGAAATCCAATTTTGAGAGAACTACCTCCTTAGAGTGCTTCGCAAGGTGCCCCACGATTCCACGAAAAAACAGAAGCTTTTCAGACGTTCATACCCCGAAATAGATTCAAAACACCCCTCCATCTCTTTTGGTTAATTTCATCTTCTTGTAGAGGCTTACGAACATGAACGAAAATATGCACCCTATAATACGAATGCTGCATAGTAGGATTAGGATTAATATCATGCCGAAAAAAAGTGCCAACAAACATACCCACCGCTTTGAGAATGGTCGGATACGTATAACCATAAGGAAGTTTGCACACCAGGGTTGCATTACCGAACCACCAGGGTTCTTCCTCATCTCCTCAATTATGCGATTAGCATCATTAGCGTGATAGAAATGAAACAAATAGAGTCTCTCCTCATCTTGCACAATCCGCACTCCTAGCGCCGGCTTCCGAACACCGCAAGAACACTCTGCATGACATCGAATTTGATCAACCTCTCTGAAAGGAACCGACTAGCGATAGTCCAAGTCTGATACACAACATTAGGGACCTGCTCCCCGCCGCCAGGTAAGAAAGAAAGCCCCTCCCTCTTCGTCTTTCAAAACCAGCACAGATACTCTCATGTGCAAACCATCCACATCGTGCATCTCCATAGTGTAAGGCCAGCGGCACGAAGAATAGAGAGATCAAGGAAATGAATTGAAAGAGATGGAGGAAACCTTAGAAGACCAGGGAGATTGAGAAAACCCTAGAATCCTAGGGAGAGAAACTCGCGACGCCTTTGATTATAGAGGATAACACGGGAATTTATCATTGGAGATTCTCCTCGGCTTTATTAGTTATATGATTTTAAGATTCTTACTCATATTTTGATAAAGATTTTTCTTCACCTTTATTATTTATGAAGTTAGATTCTAATTTTATAATTTGACAAAGACTATCCTTCATTTATTTTCCTTGCCGCTCTTGATATCGATAAGTCAGCAAATATGTCTCTCTTATTGGCACGGATGGAGTTATACTCTGTAGTTCATATCACTTGCTTTCCAACCAGTTCAACCCGAAAGTCAATTTTCGTAAGTGGTTCTCCAATGCTACTCCCCGTCTAAAGATTATCATATTCCCTGTGTCTAATCCATTTTTCTCAACCTAAACCTAAATATTTTAAAATCCTTTTCTATTCATATTAGGGTTCCCGAATTTTTTTTTATGAATTTTGATATTTGTATTATTGAAGTATATTTTTCATATATTAATGGGGATTTTGCTATTTGTTCAAAACTATTACTATTTGGGAATATCAAATTTATATCATGAAGTGAATTCAGATTTGTTTCATGAAGGAATATCAAATAGTGTCGTAGAGTTTAAACACTCCATGAATTTAACATGATTCATTGATTTCAAACAATCTCACACAATCTTTTAAAATCGTGCAAACAAACTACATTAATATCTATCTAAGTCTACGTAGAATTAAAACAATTTATAGATACTTATGAACGGGGGACTATTTGACTGGTCTTGCCTCTACATAAGTAGGCACATTTGTCCTTGATCCTTGTACTTCCATCAATAAGAAAGGAAGGAGACAATTGAATCTTTGAAGAACTTGACAAAACAAAATCAATGCACATGGTCATTTCTCCCCTCTTGGAAACACGACTAGTGCTCAAGTCGTAACTTGGCAACCTGATCACTTCAATGCTTCCTTGTATATCCGGAAGGCTTTGGTAGGGGTGGCAGGTAAAAATATAAGAACCAGCTTTGAGTAAACTGTATTTGTAATGGCGCATGCACTGTTGAAAAGTAGATCAGCTATGGTAGCGCACAAGGTATTATAAGAAAACGTTGAATTCATTATGGCAGATGTACTTATGTCATTTCTGCGATAGAGTATTGTGGATCTGTTGTTAGCTCTAATGAGATTCTTAAGTGAGGAGAAGAATGTATCCGGTTGTTTTTTGACACTTTTTTCCTCCAAGAAAGAAGATATCCTGTATGAAGGCTCTTGGTATTGGAAAAACAACCTCGACTCGAATTGCCATTGCTAATTGCTCTCCAAGAGAGATGGTCTAGTCAGAATTCATGGAAGAGCAATGTGAGGACAACACCATTGCATTCACAATCAGGGGCCAACTTAGGTCTTGTTCTTTTGGGTTGGAATTTCAGAATTGAATGTTGGAAGAAACTTGAAGAAATTGGAAGGAGTTGAAAAAAACTGGAAGGAGTTGGAAAATATTAGAAGAATTTAAGTGTTAAAAAGTCACTCAATTAGATGATCATCCAAAAAAATATGTAAGAAAACTTTAATTTTGGATAAAAATAATTTATCATTGTCTGTGTTTGAGGTGATATATTATAAATTTGGATATGTAATGTTATTTTATATTAATCATATATAAATACCTTTTTAAGTCGTTTTTGGAATAAACTAGAGGGAGTTGGAATGGACTAGGAGTTGGAAGAAGTTGGAAGTTAATTTTTCCGACCCAAAAGAACAGGGCCTTAGAGCTGCAATTGAAACTCTCTTGTCCTCACGTAGGAAATTACTTGTTGGACTAGAGGAATCGAAGTGGTTCGCTGCAAAGGAATTGGGTTTGGGCTTACTAACGAATGCAATCTTGCGCTTATGTTTTTGAATTTTCTTTCCTTTCACCTCTAGATGGAATTTACTCGATGTGAAACTTTTTTAGGGTGTCACATAATTAACAGCCGTAACTTGAACTTCAAATGATGCTTGTTCAGAATTAATGACATCAAGGCTAGCTACAATGTAAAGCAATTGGTGTACTTCATAAGGAGTATAACTGTTGGATGAGAAATTGAATGAAGAAAATGGAGAAACTGAATTTTAGTAAAAGGAACCCATACTGATCTTATGTCTCTGTTCGAGTACATCCCACATCGGATGGGTAAATAATCGGTATATAAGCTCTAGAGTTGAACTAACTAATCGATTGGATTCAATCTTTTAATGTGGTTCAACCCAAGTGTCTTATTGCCCAATCTAGTTGTCCACACCCAATTCTAAATTCTATCATGGTATCAGAGCCAGTTTTAGCTCACCTCGTTTGTCAAGGTGTCCGTCTAGACGTTCATTCCTAGAGGCCCGTTAGTCTTTAGCCCAGTTGTCCGTATGGAGTTTGTACCCAACGGCCTGTGGCGTGTTTAACACGATTGCTCGTCTGGAAGTCCATACCCAGCGGCTCGTGGTCTTTAGGTGTTGGCGCTAAAAAAAAGTCAAGGGATTGGGAGTTCATTTGCAAGTGGTCAACCGGTTAGATTCAAAATGGCCCGGTTGTCCACTTGAGGGGGAGTGTTCGAGTACATCCCACATCGGATGGGTAAATAATCGGTATATAAGCTCTAGATTTGAACGAACTAATCGATTGGATTCAATCTTTTAATGTGGTTCAACCCAAGTGTCTTATTGCCCAATCTAGTTGTCCACACCCAATTCTAAATTCTATCAGTCTCTCATACCAAATGATAGAACTCGAGATTGGTGGGAAAAAATAAATGAAGGATAGTCTCTATCAAATTATGAAATCAGGATCTAACTCCATAAATTATAAAATGAAAGAAAATCTGTATCTAAACATGAGTAAGAATCTTAAACTCCTATAACTAATAAAGCCAAGGAGAATCTCCAATGTTAAAATATTGTGTAATCTACCATCATCAATACACATGACTACATGTCTATTAATACAAAGAGACTTTGACTATTACTAGTAATAACTTACTCATAACCACCCACTAACAAAGTGGGAATAACTTACTCTAAACCTCCCACTGACTAAGTGGGCATAACTGACCCCTAACTTCCCACTAAGTGGAATTAAATGATTATTAAATGAAAAATATTGAAAATATAAAGGACGCAACAAATAATTAAATAGTGCTAATCACTCAAATACAATATGACTTAACTAACCAGCCAAGAACCTATGAGACTCATTTAAGAATGTTGTTTGAGTTAGGTTTCAAACTAAAACCAGTGTTATAACAATTCTCTGACCAGAACACATTTTGTGCCTTAATAGTCCAATTGATCAAATGCCATTATGTATTCTCTTAAAATTCATGGATTAAGCGGCGACACACAAGTACCACCAATTGTACACAGACCCCTGACTCTCTAATAATAGTTATCTCCATTGTTGTCTATATCCTTGTCAATAAATTGTTGATAACTTGAGTAGTAAGAAGTGCCGTAAATGAAAATGAGATAAGTAGGGCATGAAAAACAGCTATGTGAGAAAGAATTTCCCAAATCTAATCTAACTATATACAAAGCTACGATGAATTTGTGAATAGTGTTCCCGCCTAAATGTATGGGCTATCTACTTCAGTTTTGGGCCAGGCAAATTGGGCGTGAATAGTGGGTAGTGTTCTGTTATGGATCCGCGTGCATAACAATTATGTTTTATAGATATTTGAGAAAAAAGTAAAAGTTGGTGTGTGGCTCCATGCAAGCTTATGTCAAATCAAATTAAATAAATAGATTCAAAAAATCTAATAATTTCAGAGGAAAAAGTTAGTGTGTGGCTCCATTTAAATTTTATGTCAAATCAAATTAAATAAATAGATTTACAAAATCTAAGCATTTAATGGGTAGGTTGATTGTCCAATTATATATACTACTTATACCCATAACATTTCATAACAATCTCATCCCCAAAAATTTGTCCTTCTTTAAAAAAAAATCGCAAAAAAATTCAATGAGTATGTGGAATGCTCTTGCCGAGATTCACAATAGTCGCACCACTTGGATACTTATGTTACAACCCGTTCGTGTCTACTTTGTTTTGGCTTGGGCAAAAGGGGGAGATTCAATTGAAGTGACCTTTCATGATGAACATGTATAGTATTCACAATTTTTTTTACATTTATTTATTTACTCTAATGCATTCTGTAATGTTGGATTATCTACTTTGTGTGTAGGGCATGAGGATTCACGCTAATCACAATAAACCTTAAAAAAACGTTTTGAAACTCAAATCTTAGAAGATGGTGTTTTCTTCAAAATATCTTTGTTCATGATAACTACCTCTAATCATTTTGTTTTCGGATTAACTTCCTCCATTTTAAACAAAGCTTTGCAATCAACTCTTTTATTAGTTAGGTTTGGGATTCAATTCTATGAAATGATATGCTTCTCTAATGTACTCTGTATTACTTATATTTATCTTTTCTCTTTACTTAAATGTATTTCTTTTTTATAAATTTGTTTTCTTATGAAATTGGTTATAACATAAATTTTGTTAAACATTCTGCCCGTGCATAGCACGGGTATGAATCTAGTACACAGTTCAACAAGGATTGATTTCAGTTGCACAACAATACTAGTCTATAATTAATTCATCAAATTATCATTAGGTAACCTTCAAAATTTCAAATGACGAATATAAAGTAAGAATGAAATGCAAAAAATACCGATTTCTCATAGCGATCTCTCGGTGGCAGTGCAGACCTCACCTGTGCACATCAAACGGTGCTCATTCTTCCAATATATATCTGACAAAAAAACAAAGCACTCAAAAAAAAGAATTAAGCAAACGCAACCGAAATTGGATATCGTACGTTCCCGAGATCAGGATCGTTCAATTTATAAGAAGAGGAAAGATAAAGAAATAAAATGAGGAAATGTTACCGAGGAGCTGGAAAGCAGCGAAGGGAACGATGAAGAGTAAAGGCTGAAGGGTTTGAGATATGAGCGAGACGATCCGAGACCGGAGAGGCTTCGGCGACGGCAGCGTGAGGAGAATAGCAACGGCGGCCTCAGCTGCCACGATGTAAGTTAGAATTACCCACTGCAACGCCATTGTTTTTTAGCTCTCCTCTACCCTTCTACGATGTAAGATGTACTTTCTTGAGGGTGTTCATTTTAAGTATTTATCTCCCTCCGTCCCACTATATTTGTCCACTTTCATTTTTGCACACCATCTAATGCACTTCTTTAATCTATTTTATCTTGTAATTTATATATTAAAAAATTATAGAAATTATATGTTAATAATCTATATGTTAAGACAAATCAAACAAGATCACACATGACTATATTTAGCCTTACAAATTGAGAGAATTTGATCAGTCAAAGTGCTTAGATGAACAGTTCCAAAAGTCAAAAGTGAACGAATATAGTGGGACAGAGGTAGTAGGAATTAAACTAGGGATAGAGAGTACCCATCTGTACATTAAGCCAACACACATAAAATGGACAGACATTTTGTGTTTGGTGACCAGTGGGGTATCGATGTTAGTATATCGAAATTTTTATCAAAATGCCCTGTAAATGTTTCGTATCTGGTGGACTACCCTGTAAAGGTGAATTGACAGAAATGTCCAGGCGTGTATGATCGACGCGCTTCTTAGAAAATGAAAAGTTATGTCATTTAACGAAGCGTAAATGGCGTTTCAAGTTTAAATTTAAATAAAAATCCGAGAATGGGCGAAACGACGTCGGAAGAGACTAAACAAAAACCCTCCATAAACATCTTCCTTCATCGTGCGACCATTGAGTTTTCGATCTATGTGTGCTCTATCCCCCCTCTTCGACACCTGCAAAAGTTGATCGAAACCCTACCCATCCAAAGTCACCGATCTCGGAAAACATTGAATTTCTACAATGAGGACGAAGAATGCTTCTGTGTCTTACTCCAAGAATGGAAACGATGAGTGTCATGCGGAAGAGACGATGACAGAGAACAGCGGAAACCCAAAGGCCACACAAGGAACATTCGAGGTCAGAAACTTGATTATAATTGAATTATTCTCTCTCCAAATAACCACTGGACAATGGTTTATGAATTTTTAGTCTCGTCGACTCCATCGATCGACTAAAATAAGTGTCGACCAACTGGTCGCACTAATTGCATGTCATTCCGTATGAAATTCGTTGACATTATATGCCGTTATATAGGTTCCTGCGATGAAGACGAAGGTAAATTCAAAGAACTTTCCACATATGAAGTTGACTGTGAAGTCTTCAGTGCAAGACTTCCAAAAATTGATGAAAGAAAAGTTATGCAATCATATGGAAATCCTAGAAGTGTTTATGAGAGATTCTCCTTTTGGTGCTTTCCTTGATGTCCAACTTGTTCCCCCTCCAGCTATGTTATGGCAGTTGATGGTTAGGGAGGCTAATGTGGAAGGAGAAAAAGGTTCTGAAATGTGGTTTGTCGTAAATGGAGTTCCCATTAGATACTCTCTAATGGAATTTTCCTTGAGTACTGGACTTAAATGCTCAGAACTAGCATCCATGTCTTTTTCACGGGGGACATGGGCATTCTTGGAGTCCCTCCGTATCCAATCTTTGGGGAAGGACTTAGTTTCAGAAAGGAAGAAGCTTGTCAAAGGCGGAAAAACATCCAACACCCTCCGCTACACTGGCTTTGTCCTCCCCTCATCCGTGAGTAAATTAATTTAAATTGGTATTAAAAGTTCCTATAATTTCTTTGGTTAAATTGGGCTTCATTTATTGGTGCATGCAGTTTCTCCTATTTGAGTGTATTACTGATTTTGGAGAGACATTTGGAGTGAAGAGGGAGCAAACAAATCCAGCACTTCCGAGAATGTGTGTCTGGAAAAATAAAATTTCAAAAAGCCGTCGCACGAAGCCATAATCAATGCACTTAACGCTGCCTAGGTAAGTTCTAAACATTAAAGTGAAAGGTCGACTTAAGGTGAAAGTCGACATAATGATCTTTATAATAGGTCGACTTAAGGTTAAAGTCAACTTAATGATCTTAGAGTGAAGGTCGACTTAAGGTGAAAGTTGACTTAATGATCTTTAAAGTGAAGGTCGACTTAAGTGATCTACAATTTAAAGTGAAGGTCGACTTCATGATCTACAATCATTTTTTTAAAAATGCTTTTTCTTTTGTAGAGTGTAAGGAGCATTCTTCTTCCAGAGGGAAGTGAAATACGTGCCCCTTGGATCACCAGTCTGACCTCCTTGCCTTGTGTTTCCAATCCAACTCTTGGAGAATTCGTAAGGAGAATCCAAGGTGGTGACAAGCATATACAATTATGCATGAAAAACAACTTCTTGCCCAGCAAGTGAAGATGAAGTTGCTGCAGGAAGGAATTCATCATCAGATAAAGTTCACTCTTCAAGTGAAGGGTCAGAAGTCCCCTCCAAAAAGTATGTCTTTAGGAGGAGAAAAATATCAAGGCCGAGCACCCCAACCTTCTCACCTGGAAAAGCAGAGCACAGATCTCTATTGGAAAAGCAGAGCCCTCTGTTGGAAAGAACAACCAATATCAAGGCTTCATCTATTAGTGGAAATGCTAGTGAAAACTTGCCTGATTCACTGAGAGATTACATTGATGGTAAATTTTCTGAACTTCAAAAGACAATATATCAGGAGGTGGAGAATGTCTTGGAGAGAAAATTTCAGACACTAGAAAAAAGAATTCTCCAAACCTTACTTGACACCTTAAAGGGAAGGTGTAACACCCTAATCCGTCCAGGTCTGCAGCCCCTTTCGGACTAAAGTATTGATTTGATAATCGTGATAATTTAAAACATTTCAAACATTTTTATTTATAAATAATATTCGATACATAATTGTAGACAATACGGAGTGTTTAATAATAATGCGGAAGCGACATTTAAACACGTCTCATAACAACATAATTATTTATTTTGTTCAATGATCTATCACGACTGTCTCGCCCCTTCTGCTGCCAGGAATCAGCCAATCATTCATTCTATCTACCTGCGTGTAGCAACTAAAACACACTGCACGCTCAGCGGTGAAGCTGAGTAAGCATATCTAAAGCGTCGAACATCCACATAAATTGAATCTCAATTCATAATCAATCAATTGATATCATGCACACAATATATGATTCAAACATTCATGCTATCCTCAATATTTTATTCCAAGTCATTTGATATTCTATATCTCAAACATCGCTCTTAAATTATTCTTAATCTAAGGCCACATCATTTTATATTTAGC